CATTGTCCTCAACCATAGATGCACAGTTTATGTTCAGTCTCTTCCCACACTCCCCACTCCCCTTTTCCCCGAGAATCATTAGTCCACTCCCCTTCCATACCTCTGATTCTATTATATTCACCAGTTAATATTGTTCAGCCAAAACTGGTTTGGTTCAGTGGATGGAGCGTCGGCCTGTGGACTGAAAGGTCCCAGGTTCGATTATGGTCAAGGGCATGTACTTTGGTTGTGGGCACACTCCCAGTAGAGGTGTGCAAGAGGCAGCTGATGTTTCTCTTTCATTAGTGTTTCTAACTCTCTATCCCTCTCTCTTCCTCTCTGTAAAAGTCAATAAAATATATTAAAAAAATATTGTTCATCAGATTTTTTTAATTCCCTTGGTTTTTAGATTCACTTGTTGATAGTTATGTATTTGTTGTTCATAATTTTTATCTTTATCTTCTTCATCTTCTTAAAGAACCCCCTTCAGAAATTCATGAAATTCTGGTTTGGCGGTGATGAACTCCTTTAGCTTTTTTTTATTATTATTAGTGAAGCTCTTTATCTGGCCTTCAATTCTGAGTGATAGCTTTGGTGAGTAGAGTAATTTTGGCTGTAGGTTCTTATTATTCATCACCTTGAATATTTTTTGCCATTCCCGTCTGGCCTGCATGGTTTCTATTGAGAAATCAGCTGACAATTGTATGGGTGCTCCTTTATAGGTAACTACCTGCTTTGCTCTTGCTGCTTTTAATATTCTCTCTTTGTCTTTTCCTCTTGGAATTTTAATTATGATGTGTCTTGGTGTGGTCCTCTTTGGATTCCTTTTGTTTGGAGTTCTGTGCGCTTCCTGCACTTACAAGTCTATTTCTTTCACCAGGTGGGGGAAGTTTTCTGTCACTATTTCTTCCAATAGGTTTTTGGTATTTTGTCTCTCTCTTCTTCTAGGACCCCCAAGGGTAAATAAGAACAGGATTGTAATGCTGTAGCATTGAATCTAAGATGGATAAGGAGGGAAGAGAAGAGTGAAGCTTAAGTACAGGTTTTCAACAGATTGGCAGTCCTGATAAAGTGAAAAAAAAAATCAGTTATGGTGAACTCTTTTCTTGTTAATCCTCCCCTGAGGATATATACTCTTTTCCTTGTATTTTTAGAGAGAATGGAAGGGGGAGGAAGGATGACTAGTTCTGATAATCAAGCCCAGGACACTTGTGTGTGCATGGGGGAGGGGGGGAGTAAAGGGAGAGGGCACGTCCAACCACTGAGCTACACCTTCCAGGGCTTTGGTGAAGTTCTTGTGCAATCAAGGTGAAAGGATATCAGTCTGTGGTTGGACAGAGGGATGTTCCAATTATTGATTCCTGACGTAATAGCGTTTTTGGTGATAAGGTCCAGGTTTTTGAGTGGGTTGGGAGGCTGATATAAGCCTCTAGAGATGACGCACGGATGTTAAATGGGTTGTACATATTCACTATGAAATTATCAAGGTGGGAGACAGAAGAAAATGTAAGGGGCTGGATGCACAAATAAGCAGATGCTCTTGACAGAGGCAGTTACCTGGGTGGAGAGTCCTGAGAATAAGCATCGGAGAAGTAACGGTTTTTACGAGGTGACAGTGTTTGGCACATAATTCCCCACCTTTGGAACCTGGGAAGTGAGAATACTAATCCATCTGAGGGGGTTCTAAAGGATGCCTCAAAGGACAGCCAGATCTCAGTACACGAATGAGTGTAGCTCAAGAGAAAAGTTGATCTGAAAGCGGGAATCTCAGAGGCAGACCGAAAGCGGACCGAAGCAACAGAATACATTGACACTCCTTGTCCTTTATGTACCTCCCTCCCAACCTGCGCCCGCGCCACACCCGCTTCCACCACCCAGAAAACGCGCAAACTGTAGGACACCGGTTCTTTTTCAAGTCCCCACGGAAGTGCACTCGGAGGTTCTCTCCGGTGTCCGCGCTTTCCCATTGGCGGCAGCTTCCCCCAGCTCCGACCCGCTTCCGCTCACGTCTTAGTTGGGCGGGGCCTTCCGTAAAAGCCACTTCCGTCTGGCTCCGCCCCCCTCAACCCCTTTTTTGGCGGCTCTGTCTCTAGGCCGCGTCCCATCCCCAGCGGCCCCGCCCTTCCCCCCCGCCCGGGGCCGACGGGCGGGCCTCGCGGCTCCGCTTCCGGTGCGGGCCCCGCCCCGGCTGTGCGCTGGCTGCGGGCCGGTCCGAGCGCCGCCGCCGCGCCGTGGCCGCAGCCGATGCCGCCTCCTCCGCTGCGGGTCCCGGAGCGCCCGGCATCGGTAAGCCGCGCGGACCCGGGCCCCTCCGGCGCGCGGGGGCACGGGCGGCAGCAGGTGGGCGGAGGGATGCGGGAGGCAGGTGTGCGGGGCAGACGTGGAGGCGCCCGCGGAGGAGCGCGGGGCTGCGGGGCTGGGGGGAAAGTGAGCGCCGGGAAGAGACCGGAGCCGCCCGGCGCCCATTAGCGTGATTGGAGGTAAAGGGATGAGCCGATAAAGGCCACAGGAACTGAGGAGGCGAGAGAGGTGGGAATGGGCGACCAAGAAGAGCCCGCGGGGTGGCTGCGAAGGCTTGGTAGAAGTAAAAGTGTTGGGGCGGGGGCGATGAAGAACCGGGTGGGGGAGGTGGGCCGAGGCTGGAGAGAGCCGCGGCGAAGGTAGGGGAATGGTTCACAGCGAGGCTGGGTTCAAAGCGGCGAACAGTCCGTTGCTTCGGGTGGTCCGGGAACTTTAGGGGAAATGGGGGAGGGGGCCGTGTGAAAGGATGAAGTGGCTTGGATATCTGAGACAAGTTTCTAAATGTAGATAAGTGGTATTGTTGCTTGGACCCATTGGCTGCTTAGGAACGGGAAAAGATGGGCTTTTGGGGGGTGGTGTGTATTGAATTGTAGAAATGAATCATTTCATTCTTACTAAAGAGGCTGTGAGACATCCTCCGTTGGGAACAGCATACAGAAAAGACGGTGCCATCAGAAGCAGTTTGTTCAGTGACTGGCAGGACTTGGTTGAAAAAATAACTGCTCATGATTGTAAAGATTATAAATAAATTTTAAATGGTCAACGAATTATTTACTTTATTGTTTTGTTTAATTTTCTTTGATGCAAGTTGTTTTTATTTTAAATGATCACCTTGGCTAACTGGATTTAGTGTGGGTGTGAATCTTTTTCTGCTTTGTTACTCTATAAAAAGGGCTAAAGCAGAATGAAATTATGCTACAGGCATAACATACTTTCTAAGGGCTCAGATCATTAAAGGTAGTAGGAGGCAAGTTGTAATTTGACTCTCAGAATACAAAAGGCAAAAGCAGCACTTCTAAGATAAACAGAAAATTCTGCTTTTACCTCTATTTTTTTGCCTAGCTTTAAAAATTAGACCTTTTTTCCATCTAACATGGAAATATTTATAAATGCAAGCAGTTTTTATTGCTAGGATTATGATTACTTCCCCATGAATTTTTGAAGATGCTAGGCATTTAGCTTTTTAAAAACCTTTCCACCCAATCCTAAAACAACGGAACAATGCATATATCAAGTTCCAGCTTGTTCAGTGCATTCTCCTTTCATGTGATGATAACATTGTACGCCATATTGCAGGCCCTGTTCATCTAAATTTTGCCCAGGCATATTAGTAGCCCCATTCAGTTACGGATCCTTGCCGAGGAAACAACTCAAGTGACTATTATTGGGGGTAGGAACTTGGAGAGAAGGATCTGGGGAGTGAGAGAAAGAGAGCCTGTGAAAGGGGTGTGATTTGGAGACTGATTGGTAAGAATGCTGATGAACCAGATCCCAGAATACTTTTGAGCTAAAAGCATTTTCTTTTTGTATTCGTCACAGAATATAGAAGAAGTGAATCAGGGGATGTGAAGCATTTACTTGGCTGTTTATAAAAAAGAACCATTAACTTCTTTATATAATATTGATATCTGTTTTAAATTGATTAACTTTAAAATCTCCAGAGGAATTCTCCCTTTTGTTCTTGCATCCTTGGGGGGGGGGGGGGGGGGGATACATTCTCTTGTTGAAGTTGGATACTTTTTGAGGCTATAATGTTCAGATGGCATGGCCTAGCCCGCTTGTACAGCAGGCTGGCAGTTTGATTTGGAAATTTTGAAAAGTTTAGATTCAAGAGCAGTTTGCTAATTCTTCTTTTCTATGGAAAGAAATCATTTTGTCTGCCTGATAGCTCTGTGTCTAGCTTGGTTGATAATTTCTTTCACTAATGGGCCTGAGAACATAGCAGTAGTTTCTCTGTTGTAAGCAAGCCCTTCTTTGCCTTTATTATTATGGTTTTCACACACAACCTTTTTGTTGTTGTTAATCTTCACCTGAGGATATTTTTTCCATTGATTTGTAGAGAGAGTAGAAAGGAGAGAGGGAAAGGGGAAGAGAGAGATAGAGAGAGAAAGAAACATTGATGTGAGAGAAACACATAGATTGGTTGCCTCCTGTACACACCCCAATCGGGGCTGGGGATCAAATGAATCTGAGACCCTTGAGTGTGTATGCCAATGCTCTAACCACTGAGCACTGGGCCAGGGTGGTAAACACAAACTTTGTACAGTACGAACCAGTTGCCTTTCCAGTAATAAACAGATTAATATTTTGTAATGCTTAAGGAGAGAGATCAGAACACAGATGTTTATAGACTTGATTTTGCTTAGATTTCTTTTTAAACCTTCAGTACATCACTACTAAGATTCATCCCATATTCCCCTCTTAAATTCTTTTCCTCTTCTTCACACCCTCCCTACTTACCCACTCACCTCTGAAACTCCCATCCCTCACTCATCTTAAAATTCAGGTTTAGGAGTATATGTTTAGTGTTCAGAACTCCTACCCTTTACTGGAGAAAAGAAAGCCTTTTATACCTGTTTTTCATAGTTGTTTTTTTCCCCCCTTTTTTCTCCTCCTTTGTGGTTTCTATTAATCACTTAAGGTTTAGACCCAGTATGCCTGATGGGCTGTGCCCAGGTTCAGAGCCATGCCAATCGGTGGGTGAAGCACTTGAGGCCCTGATGGAACCGCTGCAGCAGCAGCCACCACAGCAGCAGCCACCAAACCTAGCTCCTCTGGGGATGGATGCCAGAGAGAAGCAGGGACAGCAGATAAGAGAAGCCCAGTTCTTATTTGCCCAGAAGCTGGTCACACAGACTCTCCTTTCTGCCACACCTGGGCGGCCTTCTGGCAGCCCTTCCCTGGGTCCCTTAGCCAGAGTTCCTTCAGCCACAGCAATGACCCGAGTTTTTGAACGGAGCAACGCAAACTCAGAGCCTAAGGAAGAGGAGGGAGGCTTGGAAGATGAGGATGGGGATGATGACATTGTAGAGGTGGCTGAGAAAGAGGCCCAGGCCGCTTCAAAATATTTCCATGGGCAGAAAGTTGCTCGCCAAGACCCCAGAGTGGCACCCAAATCTGGTCTCCTTCCAGCACCAGGGCTCCCACCACATGGACAGCAAGCTCAAGAAGACCATACCAAAGATGCTGCTAAGGCCCCACCTTCAGTCTCCACAGCTGGGCAGCCAGGCTGGAATCAGGATGAGCATCTCAAGCAGGTCAGTCTTTCTGGTGTGGGGGTCATTTGTTCTTCCTAAAGGCTAGTCAGAGAGGGGTGCTGGACTGTCAGGGCCAGGGTCTGTGCCAGTCTATGCCTTCTTACCCTACTTCAGTGACTAGTAGTCTAGTCATGATCTGATTTTCAATTTTTTCATCATACCTTTTTTCTTGATTAAAGCAAAGAAATGTGTAAGTTACTGCTCATATAGATTGTTCCAAGTTTGAAGTAAAAGAATATCAGTAGAATCTCTTTTTTTTTTTTTTTTAAGGAAGAATAAGGTTGCAACACTTAAGAAGGATATCTAAAAATGAGATGCATAACTCTAATTACAGTTTTTCCAGTAATAATATAAAAGAACAATCTTGCCTACACAGTTTCTTAGCTCCAGGCTAACTTAGGATCATACTCTTTTGTATATGTGTGTGTGTAGTTTTTTGTTTTATTTTGAGGAGGGGGGGGAATCATACTCTTTAAGGACAGTTTTGTTGTTTTGCCGCTAAATGTAGCTGATAAGAAGAACTTGCATTGTGTATGTTTTCTAATAAAGAGCCTTGTAAACAAGATTTCATTTCACAGGAAAGGGAAGACATCAAAATTCCCATTTTAGCCAAGGCTAGCTTGTGATTTTTAAAAAATATATATATTTTATTGATTTTTTTTTTTTTTTTTACAGAAATGAAGGGAGAGGGATAGAGAGCTAGAAACGTCAATGAGAGAGAAACATCGACCAGCTGCCTCTTGCACACCCCCCATCGGGGATGTGCCCGCAACCAAGGTACATGGCCCTGACTGGAATTGAACCTGGGACCCTTCAGTCCACAGACGGACGCTCTACCACTGAGCCAAACCGGCTTTGTGATTTTTAAATATAGCTGAGCATTAGTATCATCTAGGAGCTTTAAAAAATATATAGCCCTAGACGGTTTAGCTCAGTGGATAGAGTGTTGACCTGCAGTCTCAAGGGTCCCGGATTCAATTCTGGTCAAGGGCACACTCCTAGATTGCGGGCTCGATCCCCAGAGTGGGGCGTGCAGGAGGCAGCCGGTCTCACCATTGATGTTTTTATCTCTCTCTCCCTCTCCTTTCCTCTCTGATATCAATAAAAATATATATTTTTTAATATATAGATTGCAGGGTCCTAATGAATTATATCTGGAGGTGGAGCCTATGGAATCTGTTCTCAACCAAGCCTTTGATTCTAATTCCTCTTTTATTTCTGACCTTCAAAGCACTTTTCCTCTCCCAAAGAATGGGAGCCAAAACCCATTTGGCTCAGTGGATAGAGCGTCAGCCTGCAGACTGAAAGGTCCCAGGTTCGATTCTGGTCAAGGGCATGTACCTTGGTTGTGGGCACGTCCCCAGTAGGGGGTGTGCAAGAGGCAGCTGATGGATGATTCTCTCTCATCGATGTTTCTAACTCTCTATCCCTCTCTCTTCCTCTCTGTAAAAAAATCAATAATATATATATATATATATATATATATATATATATATATATATATATATAAAGAATGGGAGAATGGAAGCAAAGTTAAGTTGTTCCAGGTAAAGTGACTTATCTGTGCTTAGACAGGGAGCTCATGAAAAAGCTAGCATTATCTGCATATTCCCAATAAGCACATACTCTTCATGTGGTCCAATGGTGCTGTTTAGAAATCACTTTTGAAAAGCTGTGCATTTTCATGTGCAATTAGAAGTCACATAAGAAAAGAGCTTTGGAACCTGAAAAATCAGCCTCTTTGTATAAAAGAACCTGTGCAGTTATTTGATAATAGTGGTGTTGGCAGAAGATTTCCAGAACCAACAAAGTGGGGTTCAACTTCCATCTCTTCTATTTATTACCCTGTGATCTTTTTAAAGAAAAAATATTTTTATTGATTTCAGAGACGAAGAGAGAGAGAGAAACATCAATGAGGAGAGAGAATCATTGATTGGTTGCCTCCTGCATTAAGCCCACAACCCAAGCATGTGCCCTGTCTGGGAATTGAGCCATGACCTCCTGGTTCATAAGTCGACGCTCCACCCTAGAGCCACACTGGCTAGGACTTTACATCTCACTGAATCTGTGTCTTCTCACAGATTTTTAAATTTTTTAGTGGCTTAAAAGGGAAATTTTATTGTAATCTCTGGTTGTGAAATGTCAATCATACACCCTTATGAAAAATTTACAGAAGTTATCAAACTTACTTGCTAACAGATATTTAAATATTTTGTGAATTTATTTGCTAACAGAAGAGAAAAAAATATTTAGAAGGGGAGTAAAGGCATTTTATGGCTCCAGGTTTTTATTCTCCTGTTGACATACCTTTTCTCTTGTGTGATCCAATGTTGAACTCATTGGTAAAAGAGTGCCACATTGTGAAAGGGTGACTGAACTCAAGCAGAAGAGTGCAGAGTGTACCAGGGAGCATCAGCACATCCTGACAGGTTAAAAGATGGCACCTTCTTTGTTAATTGAAAAGAAATGTAAAATGAGAGAGATAGCAAAAAATATATTAATAAAATAAAAGGTTTCTGGCTTTTCTCTCTTCCCTTTCCTGACTTATGATAGCACTGTCATGTTTTACAGACTGAAATTTTCATGTATTATTCTGATACTGTAAGGAACCTAGAATGGGCTGCCGGGGAGAGTCTGTACTGAAAGTTCTTTCCAGCGAAGCATTTCTGTCAGGCCTGCTGTGGGAATAGGAGGGCAGGAGTATGTTGTGAGGATTAACTGAGCTGGTATGTGGTTGGTAGTAGTGCTCCTTGGGGCTCTTTTTAAAAAAAAATCCTCACCAGAGATATTTTCCCCATTGTTTTCCCCAATTGTTTTTAGAGAGTGCAAGGGGGGCGGGAGAGAAACATCAATGTGAGAGAGATTCGTTGATTGGTTGCCTCCTATTGGCACCATTACAGGCCAGGGATCGAGCCTGCAACTGAAGGACGTGTCCTTAACTGGGAATCAAACCCTTTGTCAGGAGGCCATGCTCTAAATACTGAACAACCAGCCTGGGTTCCAGGTGCTCTTTAATGCAATCAGGGCCACCTCTGTTGATTCTGTGCAGACCTGCTCTGAGGGAAGATGCTGAGACACATAGGGGTTTTCCCTCAGATCTCCAAGGAGGTAGTGACAGAGATAGGACAAGGAACAGTTCCACGACAGCAGCAACCTGGCTGCTAGCCCAGACCTGCCTCCCAGCTGATTGCTCTGGTTTAGCAAAACATCTGTGAGTTGCTGGCAGCCCCTACACTGCTGGGTGGTTGGCAGGGTTCCATGCTGGCGGATGAGTCAGCTCATAGTGGTATCCTGCCCTGACAGCACTGGGAAAGTTCAGGTCAGAGCAGCTGGGCTGCCCCTGCCTTGGCAGCTGGCCAGCCTTTGCATGTGTGCAGTTGTTCTTAGAAAGTGCAGCCGCGTGTGAGGAACAAGTGGAGCTCCAGAATCTGTCTTCAGGAAGTGTGGCAGGTGTTGAGGTCAAGCCATTAGAGCTTTGAAAAAAAGAGACTCTTCAGAGCTGGTGTGTGTGTGCACACATGTGCACTCAATGGCAGACACCAGCGCTGTTTTCTAGACAGTGGTTGCCCCATGGCTCACAGCTCAGTGCTCAGAGGGACTGGCTGTTGGCTCCTGAAACTCTTGAGTTCATTTTAAGTCTCTGATGGATACTCACTAATTATAGACTGCCTGGTAGAGCACTGCCAAAATGCCTTATAAATGCCAGCTTAGCCAAGGCCTAATCTTACCCCCTGAATTTACCTTCCCCCTGGATTTGGAGATTAGGAATTGGGTAACTGTGACTTAAAACCTTAAACGTGTACCTTTTTTTCCTTCTGAATTTAGTTTTACCAAATCAAGTAAGTCTGTGCCCTCCTTTTTCTGATCCTGCTTTTGAAGCAGTAAACAATGTAGGGATTTAAAAACGTTTTTTAAAATTGTGCTTTGAAAGAGAGGCTGAAAAGATAATATATTGGGAGAGCCTATGGAAACCATTAGGATCCATGAGACTAGTTTTTTGTTTTTTTAAATGTTTTAAGTCTTTTGTTTCTTAAGCAGTTACTTAGTAGAGAACAGAAATAAAGGATCTCTTGCTCCAGTGATTATTACAAAGATTGACACAAATGATCTTATTGTTAATGCACTGCAGTGTTCATTTTGTTTTTTTATACACAACAGACTGAGAGAGGGTTCTCTGGGCCAAGCCTGTGCTTCATGGACTAAGGAATGCTTCACCAGCAAGGACCTCATCATGGTCTAGCAGAGGCAATGTGGGAACCTCAAGGGAGATTGGCTTTGGGGTTGCAACAATTTCATTCTTTCTTGTAGCCCAGTTACTCAATCTGGGCTATGCTACAGATAATTTAATTTTTAAATTAATTTTTTACTTTTTAATATGTTTTTATTGATTTGAGAGGAGGGGAGGAAGGAGAGAGAAAAACATCAATGAAATCTCTTTTTTTAGAACATGTGAAGTCAAAATAATTTAATGAATTCTCTTTGAAAAACCTTTTGGAAAATAATTGCTTCTCAAGCTTGGGTCCTTAGAAAAAGTGTAGGATTCTCTTGTGCCAGAGTGATGGCAAGATGAATAATGCCACTGAGCCCAGGTGCTAAAGCCAATCAGATTTCAGTGGGCAGAGTAAATAATGGTCAAACAAGTCAAGAGACAGAGCTGAGTGGCTCTTCTCTCAAGGGAGACTAGAAGAGCCCTGTCAGCATACAACTAACTGCGGGGTGGGGTCTTCCTGGCCTTCTTAGGGTTGGTTTTCTGTCCTAAAAAAGGGGAGTACAGGCTTTATTTGTCTTAAACCCATTAGTGGACCCAGGTTTCCAAAGGGAGCACAGACTCCCGCCTATAGAATAGAAACACGAGTGATGGCTTGATAGGCACGTGGGAGCCCGAGTGCCTGGGTCTGATTTTCTGCGTACTTTTGGCAGTCACTTCAGTTACTGAGTGTAGAGGGAAAAAGGATGACTGACTGCTTGGTCTCCAGAACCTGTTACAGAGACTTCCTCTA